GAGGCAATTACCATCTGCTACACTCATCAGTTCCCTCCTTTATGACTTAATTATATGTTTAATGCTATCAGATCAAGGAAAGGGCAAAACAGATGAATGGGAAGGAAACAGGAATGATTCAGCAACAAGACAAAAGGCATATGAAAAGTAACATAAAGAGCGGAATTGATTTCATTGCTGGGGAATACAAAAAGTTAATTTAAATACAATATTCTCTCATCTCCTTTGCTACCGAGAGATAATAAAAAGGCATGTTTTCCAATGCGCCTCATGCAAAATTGACAAAAGGAGTCAAGTTTCTAAAAACCGAGCACCTTCCTGCTTTTGTTTATGGACTATTTGGGTGTCATAACTTCCAGTCGGTGGTAGAAACTTCTGGAGGCCACTACTTGTTTACGGTGGCGCTCTGAAGAGTCACTGAATGGGGAAAAAACTGTGAATCAGGTGACAAGTGGACTCATTTGTAATGGGTTATGGAACCCGGTCAAAGCTACAAACTGACATACATCCTCAAAAGTGGCTGTTAGCACATAGTGAAGAACGCCGGACTGTGTGTTTATGAGCAAACGCCCATCCATCTTCCATAACCGCTTATCTGGTATGGAGTGAGGGTGAGGGTACGAGGCAGGATGACAGCCAAGCCACAGGAGAGCCAGAAATCATAGCGTGGGCGGGTCGACAGAAGATCAGGTGACTCAGTCCTATAACAATTCACACTACAGACACTACATATTTATTTTTTTATATTTCAAAACCCCGTCAAATTACTAAGACCAAATGAACAAAGAAAAATCTATTTGCCACCCAAGAGCACATTTCCTCGATCGATCTAACCACGCACACACATACCTGTCAGACGATTGTTTTATTGCACTGTATCACTCACCGGGAACGCTGGATAGGAGGGCCTGACTTCCATCAAGGGGGGTCCAGGACCCCCCTCCCCAGACTCACCTGTACCACTGCAGCAGTATCCTGAACAGGATGCCAATCCATCACAATGCAAGACACATCAAGAGCAATTTAGAGTCACCAACACATCAAACAGAAGATGGAACATTCTGGAAAAGGGCCATCTATATGGTCACCAGGAGTTGACGTCAGCAGGAACTAAAGGGAAGACACTGGATTACCTTGAGAAGACCAGAATAAACACTGGGAGAGCAGACAAACTCCACACGTACCAGCGGTAGGACTTGGACCTCAACGCTTAGAGGTCACAGCATTACTCACTTAGCTACTGTATGACCTAACTGCACATCTTTTTTCTTTCTTTTTACATGCATTGGCATAACCTAATGTGACTTTTTACAAATGATGCAGTAATTTATAAATGCTTGTGTGTGTGTGTGTGTGTGTGTGTGTGTGTGTGTGTAACTGCTGTGTGTTTACGCTAAAAGCTTAAGATTTCCAGATAGCCTTTTTGTTTTAAATTGTCTTAATTGCATGCAATACATTACTTCCAGTAGCAATGGTTAGTCATGCTGTCATGCCTTTTGTCTTGTTGCTGAATCACTTAGATTTAGAACATCTGTACGATATCAATAGGTTTATAGAAACACTTCATAAATGTACAGCAGTAGTGCCCGTCTTAGAACATGAACCAACAAATAGCTTCTGATTTGTAACTATGGAAGATCTTAGCATCTGTACTGTGCCCACAGGCCTCCCAAACTCAGACCAGTAGAATTTTGTGTCTGGTTGCCTGTAGGATACGGCTACGAGGTGGCATCTAACCAAGGGTCTTAATCTATGGACGCTCATCAAGGCTTTGGTCTTTACACAGTCATGCATACAACCCAGTCATTATTAGGTTTATAATATTCATTCATGGGCATAAATAGTTTGCCACAGGGATGGACAATGGAGGCAAAATGATGTCATTTCTACATTTCAGGCAGTCATTGTGCAAGATAGCAGTAACAAAAAGTGCTCACCTGTAATCAGCCACAAACAGGAAGCATGATGTATTGGGATTGGACGTCAGAGTACACTCTTTAGTTTTGCTAGTTGTTGCAAGATCGATACAGAAAATTCGAATGAGATAATTGACACTTTTGACACCCGTCTCTCATATTGTGACATACTTAATTTATAAAATTATGTTCACAAACACCACAATAGCATATATTCTACCGTCATAATTACCATCGCTGACGTCAAGAAAAGATAAAGAACAATTTATGGGTATTTTGTTTTGGGGGGGGGGGGAATAAAAAAAAAAAAATTATTAGTGAACAGTCAGAATTATGTCATTTTCACCCTTTCGATACATTTCGCTCAAGTTTCGCATACATGTAACCGTTTCACATTTGAATGAAATACAATCAAAATACATTGAGATTTAATTTAAACTGGCGATTAAAAAACCCGCTGAAAAAAATTGCTCGCATAATATTGCGTTAGCTCACACATTTTATCCATAACTGTATGTACCATAAAAAAGCCCCACACCTTAAATACAAGCCTTAAGATATCCTGGATATTATAAAAGTTGATTATTATTCTAATCAAGCAATTTATTATTTAAAAATGTAACCATAACAAGACCAAAAGCGCCATCGTGTGGCTTCCAAACGTAACTAGAGATAAACAGTCGGTATTCAGCTCATCTGCTTCCTCGGTATATAATTATGTTTTAATAAAAGGGTTCATCCCAGCTCTAACAAAAGCGGTGTCACATGCAGTTTATTAGCAGCACAGCCGGTCTAACATAACAACAGTCCTAATGACTCCTGTGTTAATGACGTGACGCATATTTCCATGCATTATTGCAACATCGCAAATAGGATTGACTGCAACATCGGCCCTTTAAAAAGTATATATGAGAAAGTTCAGAAAACCGGCGAAACGTTTATATCATCCAGCTACCGAAGCGTTTTTGACATGCAGTTAAACTCAGAAGACTGAACGCAATTTGCCCTGGTGAGTATTTATAAATAACGCTTACAGGTTAGCCAAGCCTATATATTAGGCCCATAAGACTAATAACCGCGCAGACTTTTCATGGTGACACAATCCAGCTTTCAGGTCTCCGTACCCTGTGATGAAAAGTCAATCTATTCTTCGCCTGCGCTCAGTGACGTTCACCGAGATGATCCGCTGCAAAATTCATGAACAGTGACACAGAGCAGATGCATTTTGTATGCATATTTCCCCCAAACAAGCCCGCAGAAATCTCAAAGAGCAAAAAAGGAAGTAATTGATTTAAATTAATTTGTAAAGGTCTCCCTGATGGGAACCATCTGTCCAAACACAAGCAGCACATTGAGTACCTTTTAATAATAATTAATTAAACCGCTAACAAGTTACATACATCATAGTTAACACAGGGAGAAATTACCGCAGGAAATGTTATGAAACAAATTAGCTTTAACAATGAAAGAAAATTACTTCACATAACTAAATATTACGCTCGCTTCCGCTAGCCATATTTCTTAATGAATTCTCTAATTAATTTAATTCACACATTGTGCATAATTTGGAGCTGAAAATGTCACTGGGTCAAACTTTACCATAGTCTTTTGCAGGCTGTCTGTTTCAACAAGAGACATACTGGCAAAACATAACCCCTATGCAAATTACATGGACCAACTGTTGTAATTTTAATTCCAAGGCCTGATTAGCATGTTCTTGTGATGTCTTTCAGGCAAGTTTTTTTTTAATTTATTTTTTAACACAAGCCACTGTCAATTTAACTAGATCCTGTGTTGTCATTATTAATCTCCTTCCAAGATTTTTCTCTGTGAATCCAAAACGAAAAATAACCATACAATGAGTTAAATGTCAAAATACATCATGTAATTTGTCCATTTTGTTTGTTTTAGGAACAGCTGAAATGTGGCCGTATCAAAGCAATGTAAATGGAAGCTTATAACATAATATTCCCGTTCTGTATATGTTACTATTGATGGTGCCCGTTCCTATTTAACCATGATGTCATTCACCGTCTATTTCTTAAAAGCAGGTCTTCATTAATATGCAGAGGATGATTTGCATATTTTAATGAAGGTTCGGGGGGCAGGGCGGGGGGGGCTTTTGACCAGTAAGTGAGACGTACTCACGCCTAAATACCCCAGGTGTTGATGCTTGGCTGCGGGGCTTTCCTGGGGCCAATCACTTAGCAAACGGACTAATGAAAGCAGGGAGGCTGGCACTAGGGACCGCCGTCAGGGGAAGCCAAGCTCCGCGGCTCTGCAGCGACTCTCTCCCGGCATGAGTGACACTTCATAAGCTGGATGGAGCCAGCGGGGCTCCTGGGACTCGTCTAGTTAAAGATCGGAGAACTTGTACAATTTAGACCGAACCCCCTCCCCAGTCTCTCTGGATTATAATCAACTGGATAAATTTATATAGGCCTAGTTAGATTTTTTTGTTGTTGCACGTAAGGAGAAATATGCAAGGGGGGGTGTCCCACAAAGCAGGATATCTCAGTTATCTGACTTAAGCTAGGAGTTCTCATTGTCCGATAAGAGTTTGGGTAAGGGGCATTTCTATTGGACAACCATGGACTTCTACCTTAAGTTATCCCAAATGGGAAATCCTGATTTGTGTAACACCCCACCCGGAACACAGTCTAATGTCTCAGCTACGTTTTGAAATTTTATATTATACATAGGCTACGTATTATATGACTTACCCATTACATACAAACATTTAAATGTTCTCCTCACTGAGATATAAAACATCACCTACCCGAATTGCGTGCCATAAACAGAAGTGAATCAATGTTAAACAATATATAAACAACTTTAAGTTAAAGGGGTTCGATGAAAGTGTTAATATGAATTTTATGGGATATGCATGAGAAGAATATTTTCCTCGTGCAAACATATGCAACTAAGGTAAAACGCTGGCTCTTTCCCCATTCAAACACTGCACGGGGAATAAAGTTAAATCGATTTATAACTTCTTGTCTTAGCAGCTGTCAGGCGGGCCACACCCCGCAACACGCCCTTGGGTGGTTTTCCGTCTTGAAATGTTTAGTATGTAAATAAAACAGTAGTTCCAGTCTACGTGTAACTTCGGATCGGGGAAAAGTAAGTGGTAACACTGGGGATCGGGCTCGGCGGAGCGCCGTCAAACGGCGCAGTTGAGGCATCGTTGTCCCTGGATTATCATTATGTAAGGTAGCCAACTCGGAAAAGCCTGCGGTGAGATTTATTACGGGGTCTACGCGGGATATCAGGAGCAGGTAAAAGCTTTGGGGGAAACTTTTTGTTTATTTAATCTCCAAATGTTCTCAATCCGATGATCGCTTCGTTTGTAAGGCGCTCTTTTCCGCGGGGCTTAACTTTGGAGCTGTAATCTGATCGAGACCTAAACTTGTGTTCAGGCGATGCCACGCAGGCAGGAGGGAGCAGGGGGCGCGAGCAGTCGTGCATGGCGCGGGGCAGAGGCATGCAGCACCTCCAGTGCGTCTGCACATTCCGCGCGGTTTCTCAAGCTTTAAACAGGTGGTCAAGCGGGAGGACATGATGAAGTTCAGGAAGTATTTCCGAGGCAGCGGACGGGTGCTCGCCTTCGTGTTCGCGGCGTCCGTCATATGGCTGCTGCTTGACATGGCAGCGCTGAGGGTCTCGATCGACGACGTGAACAGCCGCCTGCTGAAGGAGCGCATCGGGAGAGATAGAGAGACTGTCAGGCACAAGGCCACGAAACGCACAGATGTGGCCAAAAATGCGGCTCTTTTCAGGGACCCGCAAAAGCGAGTAGATTTTGATCTAGATACTGAAGTCAGGTTTTCGAACAGAGCGGGGAAGAAAGCAGCCGACGTGTATAGAAAGCGAAATAATGCAACCCCAGCTATTAAAGATGACAGTAATGCAGATAAGGCAAAGTTAGTGGATGGAAAAGTGGTGGATGTGAATCATGAAGGAGAAAATTTTAATAAGTTGCCGGAGGTAGACATGGGTGTAAATAGAGACTTCGGTGTGCATATGAACTTCTCCAAATCCGGGAAGGTGGATAAAGATGAACGCACGGCCGCCCACGTTATGCGAAAAGTGACAACTTCGAAAGTTGAGGAAAGAAGAAGAAACTTTGTCGCCGGGAAAGGTCCGAGCGACTCGCCAAAGTTAACTGACGCGCCACCTGGGAGGCAGGAGGATAAACTGCATCCGGAACACAAAGGGGAAAATAAACTGGATGAACCTGTTGATGATCCTAGACTGCTGGCAAAGGAAAACATTTCCGGTAAAGTCCCAAAGAAAATCGGTTCTGCTTCCCAAGATAAAATTTCTCCCAGAGAGAAGATGCCAAAGGGACAGACTGTAAAGACAGACAAAACAGATTTCGATATAAAAGATAAGGCGATCCATATCAATGGCAAAGTGAACAGTGCACTAAATCAGAGTGGCCCTGATACTGTGAGTCACGTGACCCTGGCAACTCCCAAGCTCGGAAAAGGGACCAGTTTGACAGTGGGGCACAAGTCAAGTGTCCACAGAGTGATGTCATTGGACGTCACTCAGTACCCAAGGGACTTTAGTGCTGTTGGACAATTTGGACAGCCTGCTGTTGTGCCCAAGGAGAAGGAGCTGGAATCGAGGAATCGCTGGGACGAGGGTCACTTCAACGTGTACCTGAGCGAGCAGATTCCCGTGGACAGGGCGATCCCAGACACCAGGCCGGACGCGTGAGTTTTAGAAACGGCGGAAGAGCTTGTCGACACAGAGTACATGCTGCTCGATGAGCATCGCCTAACCCCTCTGAGGCACAAATGATATTTTCCGTAGATGTTCTGGGAAGTTGGTGCACGATGATCTGCCAACCACCAGCGTGATCTTCTGCTTTGTGGACGAGGTGTGGTCCACCCTCTTGAGGTCGGTCCACAGCGTGCTCAACCGGTCACCACCACAGTTGCTCAAGGAGATCATCCTCGTGGATGACTTCAGCTCCAAAGGTAGGCAGGGTCCCATTCACCACATCATCGACTGCGACTCCTGGTGAAGCAGGATGTTCACCTTTTATTTATTTGTTATTATTAATTTTTTTTTTACGACTGTAGACTACCTCAAAGAACCGCTGGAAAAATACATGTCTAGGTTTCCGAAAGTGCGGATTGTCCGTCTGAAGGAGCGGCAGGGCCTGATCCGGGCCCGACTCGCAGGGGCTGCTGTTGCTACCGGTAATTTGTAACACCTTCTTCTCACTAGACAGTGTTTCCCAACCCGGTCCTCGGAGACCCTCAGATGGTCCATGTTTTTGCTCTGTCCCGGCTCCCTGCAAGATAGTCCACATTTTTCCTCCCTCAGGCAAAAAACCTGGACTGTCTGGTGGTCCCCAAGGACCAGGTTAGGTAGCACTGTGTTAAGGTACGATTTCGAACATCTGCATTATGTCTCTGTTGTTCGCCCCCTAGTGGTGCACATAAGTAGGTACTAGTTACACACGATTCTTTGCTCTTGGTCTAGGTGAAGTGCTGACCTTCCTCGACTCGCATGTCGAGTGCAACATCGGCTGGCTGGAGCCTCTCCTACAGAGGGTGCACATGGATAGGAAGAAAGTTGTGTGTCCTGTAATCGAAGTTATAAGCGACAAGGACATGAGGTATATGTCATGATGAGATTAAAGTGTGTGTGGTTACTGTCCTAAACAATATATATATTGGAAGATGTAGCTTTTTGTATAAAAAGGGATGCAATAGTGCATAATCACTAGGTATTCCAGATTCATGCTAACAGTTTGACTGAATTGATCAGCCCCATTAGAAACATTGTGAAATAGCAGCTCTCCCTCCTTGTGATGATTTAGGTATGGGGGTGAGTTTAAGTATGACCAGAAATGCAATAAGGAAATCTGTGGGCTGGCATTAAGCTAGTCACAAAAATAGTGCAGTTTCACTGCGGCAGGAAATGCTTTTGTGTGTTCCAGAATTTGATGAAAAGTCATTATTTTTATTATTATTTCGCGGTAATATCTCTCTTTCCTTTTCTTACGCATTGAAAGGTCACCGTTAAAGCGCTCAGTAAATGTATCGCCCCCCCATTGTTTTTTAGCTACATGTTAGTTGATAACTTCCAAAGAGGCGTATTCAAGTGGCCCTTGGTTTTCGGATGGAACACGCTGACGGAAGAAGTCATCAGGAAGGATCAAGTGCAGGATTCAGATCCGATCAGGTGAAGCTTGTGGACGCCTCTTTTCATCATGGCTCTGTGCTCAATTATGCCAGTCTGACCATGTCGCACATATCAGGTTAATGTATCTGGATTTTATTCAGCTTTTAAAAACTCCATTGATTTGATTGGGTGATTATGGATCAGAGCTACAATCAGGTCCATACTCCTGTAGACTTGGAGAAGGTCTGTCTTAGTACAAACTGACTTGAACTGGATATTTCACGCATCCCATTACATATACACTATATGGGCAACAGTGTTGGGTCACCAGCCTGTCCAGCATCTCACTCTGAATCAAAGGGTATTAATATGAAGGTCACTAACCCTTAGTTGCTGTAATAGCCTGTACTCTTCAGGGAAGGCTTTCCACTAGATGTTAGGACATTGCAGGTGGGATCTGCTGCCATTCAGGTTGGGTATCGATGTTGGGTGATCAGCTCCCTTTCTGTGACCTTGTGTCGTGTCCAGCTGAACTTGCTCCCAGATGTTTCCGCTTCACAATCACTTCACTTGCGTTTAACCAGGGCAGGTCTAGCAGGACAGAAACGTAGAGATCTAGTTTGTACATCTTGTTTTAAGCGTTTATGAGGCATTTTGCCGTTCAATTTGAATATCTTCCGCTAAGCATCACTCCCACCTCTCAAAACTTTGTTTTTACAAAGATTGCAAGTCATTGAGCTGCTAATTGGTGTTAAGTGTGAAATACTCTCAGATCATCACCCTCTTATCTGATGTTCTTACACTCCTCGTACTTGAATGACGCAAAAATCACATCTAAAATGGGAAAGAGCTGTCGTGCAATTGATTTTACAAATAGCTCCTTTTTCGTGTTAAATCTATCTTTTTAGAGACTGCCAAAAAGTAAATGAATAAGTATCGGACGTGGATCGGTCATGTATGGCCAATATCCATCCATCCATCCATCACTTAATCCCAAATGGGGACCGGAGCGGGGGTACCGGAGCCTATCCCGGGAACAATGGGCGCAGGCAGGAACCAGCCTTGGGCAGCCATTGCCAATATCCGATCAGTCAAAAGGGTCTCGAACTGCACCGATACCGATCCGATTATCGGATTGGTGCATCTACATTAAGGATCTCTTTTCTACGTGCATGTCATAGGGATGCCTTCTGAAGCTTCACATAAAATGTGGTGTCTCGCTGACATCGTTTAATGGTGCACTGAGTCACCCCTAAATATATCCTATGTGTGTTTTGCAGATGTCCAGTCATGGCGGGAGGCCTGTTCTCAATCGACAGGAAGTATTTTTATGAACTGGGAACCTACGACCCTGGACTCGATGTGTGGGGTGGCGAAAACATGGAAATCTCTTTTAAGGTAGTTGCGATGGTGTTGTGATTTTGTCTTGGTGTAAAATAGGCTCAATGGGCAGTACTGCTCCCTCAGACCTCAAAGGTTGTTGGTTTTAATCCCACCTCTTCTGTGTTAAGAGTGTGAGGTTGTGCGTTCTCTCTGTTTGCTGGTTGTCATTCAGTAGTCTGAAGACAGGCTGTTACAGTAATTGATAGGGGTGTAGTTTTGCCACGATACAATTCGATTTTGTGAAGGCAGAATTTTGATATCTGGCAATATTTGAAAAGTTACTGCGATACGACACGATTTGATTCGATATAGTAATAGTAATATTTTTATTTCAACAGAGTGAAACATAAGCTGATTTTAGTGGAATTTGAATTCAAAAGACGTAACAATAAATGTTACATTTTTCATTTAACAACAGAATATGTTAAAAAAAAAAAAACTATACGTCTCAAAAACACAAAAAATGCACAAGAAACATTACTTAAATCAAAAAGTATTTCTGTATATGTATATCTTACTCTCTGAAAATGCAGGAAACATACTTCAGGTGTACTAAACACATAAAATGTACTGTAATGTTTTGGTCTCTGCTCTCTACTAAGGTGAGTCTTTCCTTTGTGTGAGAGATTTTGGCGTATCATGATGGTTAAATGATATGAATCTGTATTTGTTAATTGAGTCGATTAAATTGTATTGTGGCCTTAACAATCAATGTATCATTTAGAATCAATGAATTGTTACGCCCCTTGTAATTGGGGTCTTAATGTTGCTGGTGGTGTTTGACTAAACCTCATCTCCCTATGGGCATTGAGTGGGTCAACTTGTCCTCTTTGATATCTGATTCCCCACTACCCTCCGGCAGATCTGGATGTGTGGCGGCGAGATCGAGATCATCCCTTGTTCTCGGGTCGGCCACATCTTCCGTAGCGAGAACCCTTACAAGTTCCCCAAGGACAGGCAGAAGACGGTGGAACGTAACCTGGCTCGGGTGGCTGAGGTCTGGCTCGACGAGTACAAGGACCTCTTCTACGGCCATGGCTACCTCCACCTCCTGGACAGGAGCACCACTGACATCGGTGACCTCACGGAGCAGAAGGCCCTCCGGAAGAAGCTCGGCTGCAAGAGCTTTAGGTGGTACCTGGAGAAGGTCTACCCAGAGCTGGATGCTCCGATCGTCAGGGCCCAGGGGCTGGTATGTGAACTTCAGCGAGCTACTGTCGCTCGACAAGTAAAGCACTGTCAGTTGCTTTGGATAAAAGCTTCAGATAAACAAATAAAACAGGCCTTCGAGTGAGTGGGAGTTCATGTACGATTCTCTCTCATATATTAATTATTAGCAAATGTGTGTGTGTTTATATATATATATATATATATATATATATATATATATATATATTATTGTTATTATTTTTATTATTAATAATATAATAGTAATATAAGTTTTTGTATTTAATCACCACTCAAATGCAGACTGAGTATCACTTTTTAAATATAATTTATCATTTCTCTATTTTCAGTGGCAAAGCAAATCCTTTTTTGTCTTATGTAGTTTGCTTTTGTCCTTCTGTGGTGATTCTCTTTCTCTGGGAGGTTTTGTTGTGCCGGAGGAGCACAGAGTCTGTTTGTACCGCGCTTCCCCGGAATAATAATGCCGATTGTTACTACAAGCTAGTGACGGCTCTTCTTCGGGATCTGTTGACATTGCCAGCCTGCAGAATGTAAACATTCTCATCTGCAGCTTCTCACAGGGAACCAACTCCTCTTTTCCAGATCTTCAATGTCGGAACGAGAAAGTGCATCACCCAAAAGGACGGTTCGCTAACGTTTGAGACCTGTGATCTGAGCAAGCAGGTAAACTTGTAGGGCGTGAAGCCTACAGACATGCTGGGGCTTGTGTGACCTCCCAGAGACAGAAAATGGTATTTCCCAGAAGGAAAAGAACCACAGAGATCATATCTTTGTGTGTAGCTAAGTGGGTGGTTGTGGGTTCAAATCCCTTACAGGCAGAATAATAATATCACCGCCCTTGAGAATTGCACTTAACCCCAGGGATGCTGGCTGACCCCGCTCTGACCCCAAACTTTCCTTACTTTTGACAAAACGATCTGCTAAATAACTGAGTGCAATATATAAATGTCTTTCCAATACATCCTCCTGAGATCAAGGGCAAAAACGTTTCTTTAATATTGATTAAAATTATGATTTGACAGGAAGAGGAAGTAGACAAGGTCACACCCCCACGCATGTGATGTCATCTTAAAGCCCTAACTCTCCTCTTTAAGGAACCACAGCACATAAGAGAGTGTCCTGTACAGTATGAGAGCAAAAAGAGGACCTTATTATTACTGTCAGTATACTGGAAGCTAATATATCTATTTTGATATTAGTTGTACTTTCAGTTCCGGTGTATTTCCGCAGCGGTAGAGACGATCGATTTCCGTGTGACCGTTTAAGCGTGCTGCCCTCCTCCACAGAGCCAACAGTTCAACCACACCTGGATGAGGCATATTCAGCAGAAGGGCTCCTGCCTGGAGCCCCAGGCCCCGGTTCGGGGTGTGCGTCTGGGCCACTGTGACAGCAGCAAGCCTAACTTGCGCTGGATGCACAAGTCAGTCATCCCGAATTCAGCCATGGTGAGTCTGGGGAAAGACGTCTTGTGTTTTCCCGCAGTGTCTGTGTTTCGGCTGCTAGCTGAACAATGGTTTTGTTTTTTGGGATTCTACTGTCGTAAAAATTACTGTATGTCACAAGTGAAATCCTGTGTGTGTATTATTACATATTCCTAAGAGTAACATCATTAGATTTATCCTGAATTGAGTGCTTTTACTGTAGTTATCTGCCTAATATGCATTTTATGTATAGATTATTAAAAATCCCCTCAGTATTTTATTAAAAAATGAAAAATTAGGCCCTTTTCACCGGTGGGTGGGTGATGTCTATCAAACTGATCATCGCCCTCTGGTGGCACTCAATGGTACTAGAAAGCTGAACCCTGTTACCTGTGGCATCCGCCTGTTCTCCGCAGAAAGAGCATGTGGTGGTGGAGCTCAGGCCTGGGCCCCTTTGCCTGGAGGCCGATACTCAGCACATGGGGGTACGGCTCAGCGAGTGCAATTCTGCAAGCCCGTTACAGAAGTGGCAGTTTACACACTACTATACACAGTGACTGACATCCAGGAGGCGGGCACTATGTCCTGAGACTCCGCCCCTGCGACAGGATTGGTTACCGTGCTTTGGAAACACTCCAGCCTCTCTCATTCTTATTCTTCGTAATCCACATAAAGAGTAGACTTTGAGTTTGTGACAAACTATATTGCAAATTTGAGATGGTGGCAATTTAAACTTTCAACATAATAAATAAGTCAGTAACAGAAAAAGGAACCTTTTTCCCAAAATTTGTAAGCCTTTACACATTGGAATTTTAGTTGAATATGTCACATTATATTTTTAAATATAGAAATATGTGTGTGTATATTTAAGTGTGAAAATGTAATGTAGACACTAAAGTATTTCAGACGTACAACAAAAAGTTCTTTCAGTTCATTATTACCTCTAAATCACTACATGGCTTCTTTGATTATAATTTGTAAAGTAAGATGAAATAAACGTCAAGACAGATCTTGGGCGGGTACCAAATACACCATGGAAATTGACTTTTGTCAAAGTTGTAAATATATTTTTCCAGTGCAACACTATAGGATGTGCATTTTTATACTTGGTGCATTGTAAATACTGTGAATTTACAGGAATTTGAAAATCAGATTAAAAGAAACGTATGACAATCAGGCTTATCTAAGTGAGGGAAGTGGATCAATGACCAATAGAACCAATGTGATATTTAATAACTCTTGGTTTTGTCATTTGACAGGTGCTGTTAATAAGAGCAAGGAACTTGTTCTTTTTTTTTGTAAATGTTACTATACGTTATCAAAGGTGTAAACAGGTCTAATTTACCACTAGAGGGCAATGTTTCATATTGTGAAGGGGAAAGTATGTTTTCGGTTGTAATCCTAAAAGCTTCATTAAAATGTTTCTGTTAATGGGTGTTTCATGCTCTTTATGCATAAACATTAATATGATTTTGTTTCCTTTGTAAAAGCATTTTCTCATTTACTGCTATCTGGAATGTGTTTATGTTAATTCTTTAATAACTGCGTTATTATGAAGCGTCCTGGGCCTTGGCTCTGGGATGCATCTTGCTACTGGATCTTATTTTCTTCCAGAACTGTAAAACGAGTGTTTTGCAAAATGCAACGAAAGCTGCAAAGAGTTTGCTGTACTAAAAAAAAATCAAACATGCTGAAAGGGTAGTACATCATTACTGATAAATTTCACTTAATTGATGTGCTCGTTAAATACGAAACAAAATTGCAAATCCTGATGTCCTGAAAGGAAAGAGCCTTTATTTGCAGTAGTATCTGCTACAACAGAAGCATATGACCGGTGAGAATACATACTCGTATCCAAAAGGAAAATTTTCCAGTTGACCTTTCTGCATGAGCTGTTATGTTGTTTAAAAGTATTAATACTCATCACCAAAAGGGACAAACATCGGTTTAAAGTATTTCTTAATGTAACTGCCAGCATAAAAATGATACCATGATAAGAAATCATTACAAAAATGATAAAAACCATAAGAAACATAAGCATTTCAAATGATGCAGTTAGCATTGTTGTTCATATGTACTAGTAGGATTAACAGCTACTAAGCCTCTTATCTTGATACATTCCCTTTGAGTTACAGTTTTTTATTTTACCAAAGCTACCTACATTTACAAAGGAATTAGGCAAATTCCCAAATTGAACATACTCATTAAAATCAGGGTTGAACACAATGGATTCCAACCTTTAGTTTAGTGAGAGACCAGTATTGAAAATTACAGCCTGTAATTAGTAACGCTCCATCAATTACGTATTTCTGAGAGCAATTAATGCGTAATATTTCCAAGAAAATGGAATGGTCTGTTTTGAAACTAAAAACATTAAATAGATCGTAAACTATAAAAACATAGTGAGTCCATTATCTTGGCACACAACACAAATATTAATCCTATTAATGGAAATGGAACATGATGTTTTAAACATTATTATGTTTATTCCGGTCTGTGCCTTTTCATTGTCCGGCCCCCACCTTTTCGTCTTTAGTTTTAGTTCATCATGGACTCAAATTCATTGATTTTCTGCCTGGTGTTTCCCTTGCGGATCTTTCGATAGGAGACTGTGTTGTATTTGGACATTAAGTCGTGGTCGGCGGACTTCTTCCTGCCACCAGCAGAGGGCGATTCTTCGCCAAGCTCAGAGCTGCTCTGATGTCTTTCGCTAATTTCCTCCTCTTCATCCCCTTCTTTCACGTCCTGCTCTTGATTCAGGATCTCCTTTTCGTTCAGTTGTCCGAGGGGAATCCTCTCTTCTCCGTTCTCTTGTTTCGGCTCCTTCTCGGGAGAAGGGGTGGGTGCAGACGGGGTGGGTGCAGACTGGGCGGCAAAGCCCTCCAGTTTCAGCCCCAGTGAGAGAGCAGTTTCCCTCCACGGATCAAAGTCTAAACAGGAAAAAAGAACAATAGTTACAGCATCGGTAACTGACCTCATATCCCCATACATAAAACATCCTTATTTCAGTTAAAATAGAAAGAAGTATCATTAAAAAAGTATGTAAACTGACAAAATGCATAGCAGTTTTCAAATCCTTTTTTTGGAATAGACTGATGTCCATCTTGTAGCATCATCAGCTGTACAGCTGGAGGAATTTTAATTACATTTAATTCGAGAGATATCTAGACTTGATTCCCAAAGCGCACGCGATTATCAATCCTGCCATGGGAAAAATGTGGTTATATAAGATGGATTTAAAAACAGACGGCCATAGTGGTGAATTTAGGGTAGAGCGTCTCACAGAGAAGACTTCATCTTAGCTGAGAATATACATGAATCCATCCATCCATATTATCTTGGTCAGGGTCATGGGGGGGGTTGGATCCTATCCCAGGCAGCACAGGGCGCAGAGTAGACCATGAACGGGATACTGATCTATTTCCATACGCACACACACTGCCAGCAACACAGAGACACAAAATATCCTCTAAAATAACTCACCCAGAGAGCATGTAAACTACACACTCACACAGAGAACAGAGGTGTGATTCTAACCCCCCAGGGGTGTGAGGCAGCAACACTGGGCCCCCGAGTAACAAGGTTTACACACGCTTGTAATAAACGAAGTATAATTTTCCACCGTACACTGAACAGTCAGAATGAAAGCCACTCTTCAAATTGGTTTCATTAGATGAAGGTTTATTTCTGATAAACACTTTTTCATGACGTAGAGGGTTATATGACTAGTATGAACAAAGTGTTTGTCTCTGATGGATGTAAATAAATAAGCATCTTATTTGCTGTGTTAGTAAAGGGTTAATATTACTTTAATATTCATGTCTGCCTCACCCTTCAGGGTTTGGACCTCCACCTCCTTCTGGGTTTTCATCCCTCTCGGTACTTCAGCAGGGCTATTGGTTAATATTTTTTCTGACCCTTTGGTTCTGGAGTGCACTGGAATCAGATCCTCGTAGTCCGTTGGGAAGTTGTCGGCGGGATGGATCTTGTTTTTCTCCAGCATGAGATCTCTGTGATCTCCTGGGGCAGGGGGAGCCGAGGTTCCCGCCGCGAGCAGCTTCATCACAGGCTCGGCCCGGGTCTCCCACGGCTCCGAGGTTATGGTGAAGCGCACATGGTTGGGGTCTCCGCCGACCCCCACTAGATCGGCCGAAGTCAGAGCGGGACCATGACAAGCCCTGATTGGAACAAAATCTTTCTCGCTGTAAAAAACACTGTCATCATCTTCAGTGGCCAATTGCATCGTCTGTACCAGTAACGAGGTATCGCCGATGCCACCACTGACACCCGCCACTCCAGACGATACTCTCCTCACTTCCAGATCCAACTTCTCTGATGCTGAGCTGTAAGCCATTATAATATCGTATATCCCTAAATCCTGACTTTTGTCTTCTTATTCCAATTGTTACAAATTACTAGCAGGCCCTTCTGATATTCACTTCTGTTCCGCTTACCGTTTGTTGCAACAATTGCAAAGCAGCCAGTGTTTCCGATGGAAAAAGCCTGTTATTATCCTAACGGTCCCAGTGGGTGATGAGCAAAGGTAGCATCTCGTATTTAATAGATACGTAGAGGCTGTCGTCCGTTTACGCAGCTCCGCAGTGTGATTCTACAAGCGAGCTGGGCCAAATGATGAACGGACCGTTGTGTGTAGGGATGATAAGCAGGCCTTTGTTCACAGGCTTCAACAAATGAAGTGATTGTCCCGATTCCTTAATCCTCCCTGAGTGGCCGGACATTCTGAAATGAGATTAACGATTTCTTTTGGCTTATCAGTCCCCTTGACGTATGTCACATTCCCACAACCGTGTTTTATTTGGCTCCATGGCTCACGATGTGTAAACTCTCTCTGTTCATGCACAACGACAAGGTGCCTTTAATAAATTACATGTGTTAAATGTTCTAAGATACAGTGCCTGGTGCCCTTGTTTATTACACTTGTAAAACGTATTTTTAATCTCAAGCAAAAGTCTATTATGGAATCCTATTGTTATACTTAAAATACAGTTAGAATTAGTTTAATAACTAAGATCTTTATTAAAATTATTACTAAGAATTGGCTAATAAGTTATCCTTGAAAGGAAATATATTTAATTGAATATATAAAAATACTGAAAAACATTAATGGACTGGCATCCTGTGCAGTGTATAGCCAAACCTTAAACTTCCTGGGATAGGGTCCAGGTACCCCCGCCCAACCAGGAAAAGTGGTTGAGGGATGGAGGGGGGGATATTTTGCTTGTTGACTACATTATTTTTAGTTACAAAAACAACAGTAAAAGGGTTATTCATTTGGAAAAAAATAAGCAACGAAAGATGATTTAAGTGATTTAAGTGCTTCAAAATATGGGCAAGGGAAAGTCTGAAAAAACAACATTAATATGAGTGATTTTCCTGCATTTGTCAAATCACAAGTCAACAACTTGCCAAACAATTCATAGGTACTGCATTGGTATTATTGCTCTAAAGGCTAATAAAGTGAAATCACTGGTCGGTCGAGATTTCCTTAAAGAAAACCTGACAGCGGACCGCTAAAGGCACCGGGGAGGAAAATGGTAAATGGATTGCATTTATATAGCGCATTTTCTACTCCTTCGAGCACTCAAAGCGCTTTACAATTTTTGCCTCACATTCAGCCATTCACACAGTGGTCATTATAAGGGACAAATTAAACTGATGGAACATCAGCACAGCGTTATACAAACTATGCAGATTATGGGCCACTGGAAAAACACTGCAGTCTGGTATGTGTCAGATTACTGGTTGATGCCTTAAAGTTGCTCTCTTTTGTGTCTGTAAGGGGAGAAGTATCGCCCAACTCAGTAATACGTTTATGGGAAAGGGAGGAAGGATCTTTAATACAGTCCAAAGTTTGTCTGTTTTTTGCCACATTTGAGTAAAAACATTTTTTAAAAAGATTTAGCAAGTATTTTTGTTTTATTTTGTTAAGTCATATTCACTTCCAGACTGTAGTCACCATCACCCACCTCTCCTATATCATATTGTACTCCCCACCGGGTCAGAACACCTTAAGTCAGACTGGGACCAGTTGGTCTGTTGGGGGGAGGACGGGGCAGATGCACTTGACCTTAGTGTCCTCCAAGTATTACTTACACTAGATTGCCAGCAATAACAACCAACAGACAATTCTGAAAACCGATGTTATTTATGCAATGCTTTGCCGCCACATTTTACAGTTTTCATAAATAAGCAACTCACTCCGATTTCTTGTTTAAACTGTCTTACTACCGAGTTCACTACCGTAAGCTTGATTTTTTTTTTCTGTCGTTAAGTTCGCTTTTCACCAACTTAACCGACTCACGCACCTTAAGAGTCCGTAAAAAATGTGCTTACGTTTGTGTTTCGCCTGTTCCCAGCGTACAAAAGAATAATAATAGTTGTAGTAATAATACATTTATTTCAGATCGATGAAGCATGCGTATTTAATGGGGTCACGGGGGCACTGGTCTACCCAGAAGCGCCCCTCCATCGCAACAGGGCTGCGTCGTGTTACATCGCAATGGTAATTGCTTCTTATATATCTATAATGTATCGGATAGTCGGCAGTGCATCGAGATCTGTGTCGCATCGCCGCAGAGTTATAGATGTACTTCCATACCCTGATAAAAGCATCCGCATAAACTAAGATGGGATGTAGGAAAAAGCATAAATAAGGTTATTTAAAGAATAAAAGAAAGGAAGAAAAGAAAGAAAGACGCTTTATCTTTGTACACAAATAGGTTTTCATATGGGAGGCACAGAATGATATTCTTAATAAACACGGGGGGTCTGCGCCTCCGCAGAAGGGTGTGCCGCCTGCTAAAAACACAGACACGTGGTTTGCGGTCGCCTCCCTGCGATTCGTGTGAATATGGGCGTCTCAGGCACTGCGATGGCAGACCCTCGCGTTAGGGGCGCAGCACGGCTAATGATTCGAGAAAGGCTTATAATAAAGTTAACGATAAAGTCAGGGCGGTAAGCTTTTTGGGATAATCAGATACGCCCGTCCGTGCTGTGCTGTTAGAGAATTTGCTTGCGTAACACACGATTCAATATATGGAAGATCACCACACTCCAACGACCTCTAGCGGAACAAAACACAAGCAGATCTATGATATGTTTGTTGCATTATTATGTTTAATCGCATATTTACATCCTTCAGTCCTGCTTGACGACAGAGACCGAAGCTCAAGTATGATCTGACCTCATTTGATCTCCAGAAAACCATCATAACTTAAACATCAGCTATTAAGCAACTTTCCCATCAATTTCACTGTCATTCTGTTTTTCTCCTTCTTATTAGGCCTGCTAGATATCCACGTGTACCGCGCAGCTAAGGAAGGCACAGTTAAGTTTTTATCGAGCGGCAAATTGCACGGCATGAGGTAAAATAAAGGATATTTGTCCCGAAATACACCATAAGAGACACAACGTCCACAGAGTCAGGGATGAGTAATGACCATTTTCAAGCACTAAATGAAAAGAAATAAGGGGCCAGGCTCTTTCACAGATAAACACGCACTGCTGATCAGAGGGTGAGTCGCGTCATGCATCCGCTGACAAACGTACTGGCTGCTTGATCTTATCTAGATAAATAAGCGCACATTCTAGCGCATGATGATCGGCAAGTTTAATACTGATATCTAACAAAAATTGCACATTAAAAGACACAGGGTTCTGTTATGTCCTCAAATTCACGTTAAAGCGTGTATTCCCTGCTATGTATTGCTGTTCAAACGTTGCTACTTCTACATTTTGGTTTATTGTAGGTCATCATTGCGGGAAGGGTCGCTAAACTACGCATTCGCTCTTTGCGTAATGTCTCACTTACGTTTCTTAACTTAAGAGTATTACGCCATGTGGCTGGCAGCTTGTAGCAGTTCCTAATAATTTCCGAGGATCATTTGGAATACTCAGTGAAACTAAGGTTCATGGGATTATCCATCCATCCACCCACCCATCCATCTATTTTTATGTATTTGGAGGGGGGGCTTTATATTAGGCTACCATAATAATGGAATTAATAATCAAGGATCATTATGTAATGCCCGGTCAATGCCCGGAAAGCAGTTAGAAAGCTAGAAATTCTAGCTAGTGGCAGGAGGGGGGGCTCCACTGTGGTACACCCTCAGAGAAAAAGGTGATAATGTGTACCTATACTTGTCACTAGGGCTGTACCCTCTAGGGTCTGCCAATTGTACCCTAGCTGTAGGTAATTGTACCTTTTAAGATATGGACATTTCTGTACCAACACTAGTGCTGTTCGTACCTTTGGAATGTTCCGCCGCGTCTGTTTTTGTACCTTAAAAGGTATAAGTACAAGGGTACAAATTTTTACCCTTTTTTATGAGTGTAGAATTCTTCATATGTAGGGGCCCCTTTAAAGTTCTGGGCCTTTTGATTCTGCCAGGGTATGCCTCTCTGAAAAAACAAAAGCTATATTGATACATAAGAAGCTACAAACAGCCTTTGATTGGATGATCCATAGCCTTGGGAACAGAGAGCATAACACAGGATACACCATTGGCAGAACATTGTTCAAAACCAGTACACTCACACCCTGGAGAATTTACAGTCATCGGTTCACCTAATGTTACTGAGGTATGTGGTTAAGCCAATTTAACAACTAGGGGAACCTGCCAACAGACACAAAGTAACAAGGGCCGGATTGAGGCGCATTCTCCACAGCTGTAAGGCAATAATACCTCAAAGTAAGCAACCACATGATCCTGTGGGCAGGAGCATTACTTCGAATTAGACAGATAGATACTACTTGGCAGAAGTTATAGTTCAGGGAAGCATCATGGCTTAACGAGAGCATAACAATGTCCTCCTGTGAAAGAAGAATGTTTCACCTATACCTGCAATATTTAAATACGCTGCTCTTAGGGCTGCTTTCATTCTGTTGCTTAGAAACATCTTCAGTGCACCAAAAATACACACAGCTCTGGTGCACTAGGTGCTCAGAATGTTTATAGTGGAGCCATGACTCACTGTGGTTATTATACAGGACTCAGCTGCACAAATTGCATTATAAAACATCCGCACTAAACTGAATGCTGACAAACTAGCACACCATTGCTATCATTCACTGCAAAAATGCAATAATATATAAAGACTATTCAAACCAGATTGTGGTACACTTTTTACTACCTGATATTAATAGTATTCTCACCCCGTATATGCTGTATGAAAATTACTGATAAAGGATGTTTTTTGCACACTTCTCTATCTTGTAGTTGTGTTGTAACCAAAATAACTGAAAACGATACTTTCCCGCTCTGCGGCGTAGCCCGTGTGCGCGCGTGCAGGTTTGCTTATTAATCATTATCTGCAATATCTAGGATGGTGCACGCAAATAAATGCATCGGAAAAGTTAATTGAATAGCGATAACAAACTGATTAACCGATGAACACGCAGGTGCTGAAGTAGAAAGCCAATTGATTTTAATATGGCTACTGCATCAGCTCTATGAGCCCGGTGTTTATCTGATCCGGTTATTGTTAGACTGCTGAGGGTGGGCAGCGTGAAAAGCACAGAGAGCAGAGAATTTAGCGGGGAGTTTTGGAAAAAAGTAGTCAGGTCCTCGCACCACGGACTTCCTGTTTCGCTGGCTTCATTTGCCCTGCGGTTTTGATAAGTCTGCTGTCTGAATACCCTGGGGTTCTTATCATCCGTCCTTTTTATCTAGTTTTCCTGATAGAAGATGATCTGTGTTAAGATAGAGGGTATCGGAGGCTTCATGTTTTTACAACTATAAGCCCATTATGGAAATTGCTGCCGACAACATATAAACAGCAACAAAAAACAGGCTTAAAGAGAGGCGATTTCAGGCTTTCAAAATTAATCCTCTTCCTTTGCAAAAAGGAAACAATCAATTTATGACTTTATTACAAATATTATAAAGATTTATAACCTTTTAATAAAAATGTTGCAAAACAAATGTGAGCATCTATTGCTATAATCTTTCAAAATGCTTTGTTTAATTTAACCACGGTATAAGATTAATTAATTGTTTTTAAGCATGATATTCATGACGTTTATTCACTTATGATCCCGGACGTATGCTAACTGTTGTTTTTAATCGATACTCATAGGAGGCATAATAAGTTTTCCACCAGTAGGGCGGAGAGGGGGGTGACATTGATTTGAAGGGGTTGAGTGAGGGGGTCGGCGTGCTCATAGAAAGGACAATGCCCCCCCATTCGAGGACCATAATCAACTGTGTTTAAAAGGAAACATGGCAAGATAAGACACTGTTTGGCGATTTAAATCAAATGGCACATGAAATCTTAAAAAAATCTTTATTAAAACGAAGACATTTTTATACTTAAGTTAGATGCAAGTTAAGTTAGATTGAGTATCTGTTGTTTTATAATGCTCTCACGTGCGCAGCTTTGACTAGCCAGAGTCCGTTCAGGGATGCGTGTGTCTCTGTAACTGCAACCACTAAACCCGAACTACTTCCTGTGAAATAACACACTGTGTAACTGACTACAACTGTAAGTCCGTTTGGGATAAATGAGTCACCAGTGAAACTGGATAATAAATAACGTTGAGACATAAGCAGCAACAGGTCGAGGTGGTCTTCAGCTGTTCTCCTGCCCCTCCAGTGTGTTTGAGAGTCCCGGAATCAGCTTTGAGATTCGTTTGCGAACGTGGCCGGTTTTGGCTCGCCTGGGGACAGTTCCGAAGAGCATGGAGACCCCCAGGAGGTCCAGGGAGGGTGATAAGGAGCCACTACTGCTGACCTGGCTTTCAACACTCATCCGGCGCCCCTTCTGGAGGTTCCGGTTCTCACAGTCGGAAGTCAGTTGACCGGCGTCCTCACCGTCTTCCGTCATCATACTCCAGCAACTGCTGACGCTGGATAAGCGGCAGCTGTCCAGCTCCACGGGGGATGCCAGGGACATGGGGGAAGATGGGTAGGAAGAGCACTCGTTCTGATTGGCTGTGAACAGGAGAGGGCATGTCCTTTAGTTTGCATCACGGTGACCAAATTAAACATCCATCCATCTTCAAACTGCTTATTTTGGTCAGGGTTGTAGGGCTATATTAAACATCAGCCTTAAAACTTTAAAATCTTTCCTTTTTCACTATCAAAGATGGTAATTCCTTCATAAAAATAAATATGAACTAATAGGATATGAAGCAGAGGTTTGGGCAACACCGTCTCTAGCAATGCTGGGCCCTAAACTTGTAGAAAATACTGAGAACATTAGAAACTGAGTGTGTGCTTTTTGGGTTGTTTTTAACTTCTGATAAACACATTAAAATGCTGGTGAAGATCAGGGCCGTGAGATAGTTGGCAACGCCACATAAAAAAAAAAAATGAAAACGGATGTATGGTGGGTGTCTGTGGCTTTACGACCAGTATCCGCTTACCCCCGGCAACGTGAAGCTCCTGTAATGTCAGTTCCTGAAGCTCCGCCCACTTCTCACGCAAGCTTTGCTGTACGGGGAAATGATGGGTGGGAAATGACAGAGTCAGAAAATGTGTGAAGTAATCATGGTGAGTTCCTGACGGTGCATCTGAAAGTGTGCTGGCTTTTCGGAAATCGAGGGGATACACAGATCAATCCCCAGGCCGATTCGATAGCTTTGGGTAATTCCCTGCCCGCGTCCGTCCGCCAGTCGAGTTGTGCCTTCACTGCAACTCTGCTACCGGCGTTTCAAAACCCAATGTTCAGCGATTGTTTATTTTCGATAGGACGACCGCTAGCCATGTGCATGAGTCAACTGGGACCGGCTGGTTTTTGTATCAGATCCTTGGCTTTCATGTGACATATGCTGAAGCATTCAAACAAAAGACAGCAGAGAGGCAAAAATACCTTCAGAGATCTCAACTTCATCTCCAGCTCGATCTTCTTCATGACTGTCCTGCTCACTGTCTCCATCCTGTAGGGCAGAGACAGGACATGAGCGATTTGGCAGCAGAACATTTGACTGAGGCTTTACACCATCTCAGCCATGAGATTAATGACAGGGTTTTATTCAGCAGAAACAGCCTTGTGTGACCTTCGTCTTACAGAATACTGTGAGTGAACCACTGGATTCTCCATGTGATCCAGAAAGCTTCATTGGTGATTTGGGCGTTTCTCAGTCTGGAAGCTTAGTGCACATTTACTTATTGTAAACACTGATTTATTTGTTTGCTCCTTTTTGTTTTTTTGTGGAAGGTCTGAAATGTACCATTGAGCAATATCCCATTGTAAGTCCAGGCTTGGGACCAGTCAGCACTTAGAGGGAACTATTGCTGTAACCTTCCTGGCTTTGCTGTGCAGTGTGTGGTAATTTCACAGCTTTAATTTTCTGTATTTAGTGGTCCCTAGTGACGATTCCTCGACCCCGCTGGAAGCTTGTGTCCAGAACCTGGCTAGTATGTTGCTTCACCGCAGACTAACCTCCTGCTGCTTGTTCTGCATTTACCAGTGGTGTGGGCTTGGTGGGGGGGGG